GAGACACTCCTGCGAAAAGATATTACACATTGGCAAGAAAGATTAGCCAGCAGGATTACATATTCTATTACAAAACTGCACATGCAAACAGTGCTGGTTACTGACAGGACAGTAGAATCTTTTCCTTATGCATACGAAATAGTACAGTGTTTTGGCAGATGAAAAAATGTTTATCAAAAAAATATAGTGATGAGGCTACAGAAGTAACAGAACGCTAAAAGGTACTATCTAAATAAGGAAAGCAATAGCTGCACTGTAAGGTTTACCATGCATAACTTTTTATCCTCAAGCCACTAGCCCCAATCAATGGCCAAAGACAGACTGTTTCATTCTACTGTGATCCACTTCCGAGGAATTTTGTTTCAGATCTTACCTAATTGGCTCAAGTCTGTTTCAAGTAATGTCTCCATAAATTTAAATTTGTCCTTTGGCCTTTTACTAGAAAAAAGTCAACGAGTGAAACAACCAGCACTCTTCCGTTCAATTGACTTGATTATTTCAATCTTTTAGTTAATTCTGGATTCTGAGAATAAGACAAAAACAGTAAGAGAGATGGAAATATGACCTGTATGTCATTAACAGCAAGAGTGTAAGATAGAAAGAGGCAACACACTTGTCAATCTGTATTCTGTTGAAACCTCAGATTTCTGTTGAAACAGAGCAGATGCAGAGGAGAAATTCACGTAGAAATATGCAAGAGGATCCCTCAGTCTGAGTGTTCAAACACATTTACTAACTCACCAGTGAACCAACAAAGTAATCTTTTTCTACTCTTTGCTTGCCCTGTTGCTTGCACAGACTCTCCTCTTCAGTCTGAGCAGATCATGTTGTATGATGAGATTCAGACTGTACAGTATAACGAAAGAGGAAATCTCTCCATTTTAAGAGTTGTTTTCAAAACATAATAAATTGTCAAGCCAATTCTTGACAATTTAGGAATATTTTCACAATTAGAATATAAATTTGAACAAAATCCAATGATAAAACCCAGGAGATAAAACAAAATTTTCTCTGAACATCAAAGTAAGTTTTTGACGTTATTGATAATTTTAGACTAGATTATCTCTGTAACCAGGGTCAGTATTTTTTCTTCTTTCAGCAATCCAGACTTTCTATAGCATTGTATACATATTTTAGGTTATTTCTACCATGTTAGACTGCATACTACTGTTCTATGTAATTTACAATTCCCCCTCTCTTCCTTTTGGTTCTTACGAAGTCCCAAATCCTGTGTCATAGCTTATAATATATAGTTATAAAATTATGCCACCATTATCATTTCAGAGAGGTAATAAGAGCCCAGTGCTATAAAAGTTAGTTTTAAAAGAGTGCACATTTCATAGTGATGTACATACACACACCACTTGTTTCCATAATTTAGCCCTTTAAGTATTGCACCTTGTTAATAAGGCTACTGTCTAGTTTCCTTTTCAGTAAAAGTACTGATGCTCTTTTAACACGAAGGTTTACACAAAGACAACATAATTTGTGATTTAACAGTACAGTATTTTATAAAGTTTTTAAGTAAACTTACTTATTTCCTTGCAGCCTCAGAACTCCTGTGTATCCAATTCACTGGAGAGGCATACAAGGAATATAGATGAGACTACATAAATTTATATAAAGCGACCTGTTTGTCATGCATTTTTCTGATGTGCTCAAATAAGGTCCTTTGAGCTTGATGGCAAAGAGACAACTTTTACAAATCTAAGCAATGCTTTCATAGGCTAAAATGTACAAATAAATTCTTCTTCTTTTTCACTTTCCCTTTGTAATGCAAAAGATATAAAAAATTCCCAATCCTCTAAATTGGTCTGGCCTTCTAAATACCAGATAAATTGCATAAAATCAGAAAAACATAGATTGTCTTACAAAGTGCATATTTCAAACATGAGTTATAAGGATATCTGTTCTTTCCAAGTCCTGACTTCAGAAAAGCATAAAAATGTGTGCCTAACTTTACAAACATGAAAAGTCTCGTTGACAAACTGTTTAAGAAAAGTTAAACACATACTTTGATGAATCTGAGCCTACATTTGTTATTGGACTACCTAGTAACCACACGTGCTTTATGGATTATATGCACCTCTTCCATGAAAGATTTGTTGGCTTCAGTGTGAGAATTACTACAGTTAAATAATGTTATTAAAAATTCTGAGGCCATGTACTATTTACATTTTTAGGTCCTATATTGAAGATTCTGGTGTGCATTTTTAATCACTTCAGAATAAATATTCAAGAATTTGGGGAACGGAGGCCCTAAACATGATGAAAAAGATTTGATAAGGAGAAAATATTATGGAGGAAAAATAAATATCTTCATGTACAACTAAAGACAATTTTAGGAACTTGTATTCTTTCAAAATAATGGTTAATGTGTATCAAACTTGGTTTTAGTGGAAGCTGATACCTTCACAGATGTGAGAAAAGTTTTGTGGTGGCATGCATTTTATTTTAAATTCAAGGGGAAATTACCACCAGGCAAAGCGGAGTACTCAGTACCTCCAGGATAGCAGGCTGTCATATTATTTTTTGGTGGCTGAAGTAATTTGATAAAAAATAATCCAATTACAGACAAAGTATGTTTTGACCAAGGAACTGTATAAACAGCAACTCTTTATATTTACAATACATTTGGAAAAGCTTTATACAAATCTATAGGCTTATACTGTAATTATGTTATGGTTCAAGCTCATTTTCTACATTTTTGTATCAGCTAAAATGTCTTTTTCCTATTTGGAGCTAAATAAGCTACAATATTAAAGTAAAATTGTTTTCACCAATTAGTGCTTCCTTCCATTTTAATAATTCAAGAAGTGACATATTGCTCCTTTAAATTTTGCCTAGAATATAAAAAAATCAAATTCTTACCCATCTTCCACTCAAACAGAACTACATCCTGCCTTTACAGCCTTCTTGCTTTCCCTGAGGAAATTAATATTCAACTGGATCTTTTCTGTTGTCTTCTCAAGGCAATTTTTATAAACATTCTAATAACTTCTTTTTCTCTGGACATTACATATTATACGCTAATAGTTGTAGTGCATAACATAATAAGATAAAGACTCTGAAGTCCAGTATATAATCTTCTTGAAGAGTATTAGTTACAAATGTAAGTTAGAAATCTTGAATTTCCTGTTTGGCAAAGACTGTAAACACCGATATTCAAACACGTTCAAGTGTTAGAGTGTATCTATCTTTAGCATTGAATTACATCAAGAATTTGGATTTAGTCTCGAAACCCTACCTTATAATATTATGTATAATCCCAAGCAAGAGGAAAGTAAAACCAATATTTCTATTGCTGAATTAATTTATCTCAGGAGTATATTAGATTTCTCATATTTGGAGTCAAATATTGAAGGAAAAAACTCTTCATTTTAAGATGAGTTTAAAAAAGCATAATATTGTTCTGTTACTACATTAATCTGTTCCCTTACATTGCATATTATGAGTTTACGGACCAAATTATTTTTTTTGTCAATAGTATAAGCAAGAATAGGAGCAAATTGTATTACATTTTGCTTGGTGACACCAGAAACAGACTGATCTCTTTTTTCATTTTTTGTATCACTGAATAAACCCAAGCAATTATAAATTGGAGTTACAAGTGCTCTTTAATCTTGCATTTAGATAGAAGCGAGATAGTGGTCTATGCAAAAGCACTGTCGTCTAAGATGTTAAAAACAGTTCAAGCAGACACTATAGCTGTATAGTGCGTTTTTTTGCGATCTTGAGAAGCTTTTCAAGCTCAAGTACCTGCAGACATGGGCTGCCTACATTTAGCAGATATATTCTGTATCTCAGCCATCAGCTTGATTAGTTTTTGCTAGTGACTTACTTTCTAGCTATTTTGCTAAAGGTGTCATAAAATTATTCTGAACTTAGACTAGAACAAAATCTCTACTATGATGCTTTGCAATGGCCAATAGTTATCTGTCAGATAAATCCTGACAAGCGTAGATTAAATCCAATACTCTATAGAGGTCTCACTTCCAGCACTACCACCTATATAAAAAATGGAATGTAGTATAAATTTAAGTCAAAAATATGATTTTACAAACATTTCCTGATCAAAATACTATTAAGAAAAGGAGTAGCATAACTTTTCC